TCTGCAGGTTTTGTCCATATATATCGTGTGGCCGTGCAGGTTTCGATTTGAAATTTTCGTCGTATAGATAGATATATTCGATTCGACTAGACAACGACCTACCGTCGAGCAGGAATCCAGGAAGGTGATGACTGGTGAGGAGATGGCATTCGGACGGGAGCTGCCGGACGACCTGACCGCCGACATCCTGCGCTGCCTCCCGCCGCGCAGCCTGGCCGTCTCCCGGTGCGTCTGCCGTGGGTGGCGCGACCTCGTCGACGCCGGCCGGCTGCTGCGCGTGGACTTGCTCCCGCGCTCCGTGGGCGTCATCTTCATGCACTACTGCGCGTTCTACTCCCCGGAGTTCTTGGCACGCCCCACGACGGGACGACGACCCTCCATCTCCGGCGACCTGGATTTCGTCCCAGATGGTTTCTCTAAGGTCTTGGACCACTGCAACGGCCTCATGCTCTGCACGGACGCCTCGCGCTTCCATGACTACGTCGCTAACCCTGCGACGCGGCGGTGGGGGCACGGCTGCCCCGGCGACCAAGACCAACGCTGATGCAGTCGCAGATGGGGAAGACCGACGCTGATGCAGTCGCCGACGACCAAGGCCAAGACCAAAGCCAAATCGGCCAAATCAAATGCCTCGTGTACGATCCCACCGTGTCACCGTATTACGAGGTGTTCTTGTTCCATTCCCTCCGCGATCAGCATCAGACATCGTACCCGCTACAAGCATTTGTATATTCATCGGTGACCGGGCGCTGGGAGGAAAGGTTGTTTGTTCCGGAAGGCCGTGTGGTAGAAGAGGCCATTGCTGACACAAGGTTGTCTGTTCCAGAAGGCCGTGCCCGTGTGGCAGAGACCATTGGTGAAAGCAAAGTCTACTGGCGAGGAGCACTCTACCTTCTCTGCCAAAATGGTTTTCTTCTGAGGTACGTTGGTATTATTATCCCTTGTAAAAGCATTCTTATAGCTGGTTAATTAATTCGGAAAAGATAAGGTGTTTTAGCTTCCGTCCACACCCGATTTTTTTTTGGGCCGTTCGTTCATGAAACAAGTGTCTGTGATGGCCCGACGTGTCCCGACGCGCACGCGCTCCTCCTCCAACGGCGGTGGGTTGCGTCGGAGGCGACAACAGCAAGGTAGGTGGGTTCCTCCTCCTCCTCGGCACGATGGCTAGGATTCCAGCCATCCCCTTCTTCTCCAACTCCGGAGGGTATAGAAGGCGCTGGCCGGGAGGAAGCAGGCAAGCTAGATGGTGGGGATAGTGGTCGTGCGGTTTTTGGGGCCCTGGCGGTTGTAACTGCGGCCGGGCTAGGTCGGGGCGGGGGAGTCGGCGGTCAATCTCGTCGGAGTTGGAGAAGATGGCGGCGGTGGGGGAAGGGGGAGGGGAAGAAGGCGGTAGTTGCGGGCGCTTAAGGTCCGGAGCTCCGACGAACTCTAACACCCATGGCGGGGCGGTGGTCGGTGGCGGGGGCGGTGACGAGCAGGAACGGCGGCGGGCGGCTGGAGGAGGAAGAACAGTGCCTAGAAAAAATCAGATGGGGGTGGGGGGCGAAACACGCGAGTGACAGATAGACTTACTCTAATTAATTTCTTCTATGTATGGTTATGGTTGGAGTTAGGCTCAACTTATGCTGACCTTTTATTGCCAATGACTCTCTTTTTTTTCTCGATCACGCAAAAGGTTTACGCGTTTTTTATTAAGGTAGAGAAAATGGTCGATACAACATGGCTTAGCGACGCCTAGAGGGTTAATAAAGTTGTACATGGACGCACCCTCTCTAGTGTACTATAAGTTAGGCTATTATATTGGACAGTCAATCCAAATTTGCGCCCGCTGGCAAGGAGGCCTATGATCGGTGTGCCGAGTGGTGGCGCCGCTTGCGTGACTTCCTCGCCATCCGCTGGGAACAACTCACGCAACGCCTGCATATGGGCGGGGTCACTGTTGAATATTTCTTCATACGCCTTCTTGGCCGACATCGACGGAGATGGCTTCCCGCTAGAAAAGTCTCGGACGCTTCACGACAAGGTACTCATCTCGCTTGGATGCCGAGATATGAGCTATGCTCTGCGCCGCTATCCACCTGCTTCGCTCGGGGAGCGATGGCGGTCGAGGGCCATATCATCTGCAGGCAGCTCTAGGAGTGGCGGCTGTCTCGCCCTTGTGATTCGCTCGGTGAAGAGCTTGAGGCGTCCGAGATCGTCTGAGGTGAAGGAGTGCAGTTGACGTCGTCCGTCGCAGCTATGCTCATTGCGTCGCCCAGGGCGGTTGTCCTGACAGGAGTGCCCGCGTCCTAGCCTTGGGGGGCTTGGGCGCGCCTCGACGTCCACGATGCCGTGCTGATGCCTCGGTCACTGACTCCCTTTATTTTCCATGTTGCAGGATATCCATCTCAAATGCAAATTACAGGCTGATTCCAAAGCCACCACGCGTTGAATTCAGGTCTTATGGATACCTTACGTTGGGAAGATCAGAGAAGGGCGTGTATTGTGCATCTGAGTATGACCGGCATGGACTTCGAATTTTCTTCCTCAACGAATCATGTGGCCAACAAGTAGAGTGGGAACTGAAGCATAGTGTTGATTTCACGACCTTTTCACGTAAGTTGGGTGCACTTAAGGGCCACAGTGATCAACAAAATGGACCCTGGATGTTACAGGATATCAACTACTACAAATATCATCCTTATGGCAATGATAAGCATAAAGAGGTAGTGGAAGACAAATTTGAATGGAACTCCGACGATGATAATGTTCTCAGCACTGAAGATACGGTTGATGGGCACTACAGAGTACGATATATGTTCTTTCTCGGGTTTCATCCTTACAAGGAGGATTGTCTTCCTGGATGCAGATTTGAGGAGAGCGGTAGCATATCACTGGAATACCTCAAAATTTCAGGACTTGGGCAACATATGTCCAGGAGATTACGGTATGATTGGCGAAATTGAGACTTCTTTCATATACACACCATGCTGGATGGATGGAGGATTTCCTGTAGAACAAAAAAAATCCACAACCGCCAATTGAAGATTAGCACAATATACTTCGTACAAGCTGCAGGCAGAAATGTTAGAATATACAGTGTAGTCATGTCACTCTCTGTCCCAGTTTAATTATGCCCTATGTACAGTGTACTATGTTTAAGCACAGCATCAGATATAAAAATAAGCATATATTAAGCACAGCTCGGGGGAGAGGGATTGATATACTAGCAATGCAATATCACCTAAAGTGTCGCGGAGTAATTTTTCCTAAATGCATACAGTTTATAGAATAAAAAAATGTGTGAGATTTGCCTAAGTGGCCATCTTCAATTCTCACCTTTTTTTGTTATAAAAAAACAAATCTCACACATTTTTTTATTCTATAAACTGTATGCATTTAGGGAAAAATTGCTCCGCGACACTTTAGGTGATATTGACCGAGTGGTCATCTTCAATCCTCACCTTTTTTTGTTATCAAAAAACAAATCTCACACATTTTTTTATTCTATAAACTGTATGCATTTAGGGAAAAATTGCTCCGCGACACTTTAGGTGATATTGCATTGCTAGTATATCAATCCCTCTCCCCCGAGTTGACCAGCATACTGTTGAAAAGGCATTCAAGATGATATTTTTATATCTGATGCTGTGCTTAATATATGGTCAGTCCTTGTTTTGAAATCATGTAGTTACCATCCTGGAAGTATTCCTAACATCCGAAATTGGTAGGAATATGTATTGCTATCTGTCTTACAATTGGGTCATATTGTCCCATATTTGGTACGCATAATGGTATCCAACCAAAATGTTATATTTCAGTTAACTACGATCCAAATTAGATGTCCCTAATGATTAGATTTACCAAGATCACATTCCAGTATGCCAATGTATAAGCCCAGTTTTGTGTCACTATTTCAGCAATATCACCAAGAAGTCAACAACACTGTTTAATACAGAAATCAAAACTAATTCTCCACTATGACCATGTCTCCAGTGCCAGTGTTACTGAAAAACTGCGTACAATTCTATCTAGTGCGTGTGAAGATGACATTGGCATGCAAATGCAACTATGTATCAAATCCCTGAACATTGGCATGCAAATGCAACTATGTATCGAACCCAGAAGTCCGAGGTTGTTGGAAACAGTTGTTATGACCGGCATCCAGTACTCCAGGCGAAGGCCCAGCAGTGGCTAGAGGATGCCGGCGGGTTAGGGGGCTCAAGGCCCATATTTATCATATTTTACATAATATTAGAGTTATTTTCTATTATTATTCAGAGACATATAAATACCTGTAAACTCTATTGAGGAAAGAAAGCAGAAACATATTATTGTTTCCGGCTTCCTTTAGGGAGCCGGGAGATTATCCTGTGCCCTAATCGCCTCTCCTCTTGCCTCACGCACGCCGCCAGTCTCCACCCGCGAGATCACGGCGCCCCGCCGTGGTCCATCGCGGTTTAAGCCTCGACCCCCGATCACCCACCGCTACAACCTACGCTCGGTCAGGGGAGGAACCTCAGTTCCTATCAACAGTAGTAACAAGCACTAATTTGTGCATGAAAAGGTTAATATCAGGTATGAATTGCACAAATTGAAGGAACCATGAATCTAAAATTGCTAATAATTAATAGGTAACATCTGGAAAAATTGAAAAAAAAAATGCAAGGTGAAACATTATGGCTATGTATGTATACCACAATGGAATAGTACAGTGCAGGAGATGTGAAAACTAAAGATCTAATATTGACTAACCAGCAGATCATATAAATTACCAATTATTACTAGAAGGAAAAGGATAACTGGGGTAAAAGTAAAACTCATGTTAATAGACATGATAAAACTTTATTGGCTGTTCATTTCTCAGGAAAGGATTTTCAGTCATTTAACAAGATAACTAAATCCCATCATTGGTGAAGTTGGCAACCAAAGGGACTCTAGAAAATATTGAAACTGACAAAATCTGACCTACAAATGTAATGTGACATGCTGTAGATTTTATTGCAGATCCATGCCAGGATCTATGTATCCAACAATTTATCTTGGTTCTTGCTTTCCATCTTGTTACTTTCCTCCCTTATCACACGCTTGAAATTACTGAGCTCAGCAGAGTCATCACCATACACCATCTTGATGTTATCCACACAAGCACTGAAGACAAAACTCCCAGATAAACCGAATCACCATTTTGAACTTGAAGAAAGACATGCAGATACGTAAACCAGGGCAGAATAGCAGACCTGCAAGCTTCCCGGTCAAATCTGCTGCGTGGCACACCAAAGAACTCATCAAAAACCTTTGGTTCCACCCTGCAGAAGGAAGGTCGGTCTACAATCGCAAGACATCAGTCAGAATGGTATCCACTGAAATTTGCATCGCACAAAGTTTGTGGTACAAGCAGCATTATCAAGCCGTTAACAAGCACCTACCTTGGTAGATGTTGCAGGTGCGGGTGGCCTTGTCGTAGTTGATGCACCATCCATCAGAGCCGATCATACTCCTGTACAGCTGCACGTATGATCAACATATTAGCATAGTTGGTTGGTTAAGGCACATTAACGAATTCTACACTCTAATTAACCGCAATATCGCATTTTTTTTTATCAAGAAACGCTCGCTTTGTTCCCTGATACTGCAAAACGCTGCAGGTTGTGAACGGTGCTACCTGGAGGTCATCCTGATGGTCGGCAAAGATCTCGTCGGGAGTGGGGAAGTCGGGGCCCTTGTCTAGCTTGCAACACGCGCCGCACCCGCTCGCGCACTTCCACCGCACCAGCCTCTTCACCTTCACCTTCTCCTGCAGCTGCTGCTGCGTATTCCCCTTCCTCGCCTCGCCGCCCTCCGGCCTCCGCGGGCCGCGCGCTTCTTCCAGCTCCACCGGGAGGTTCTTCTTGGCCTCACCCGACGGCCTCGGTCCTGACTTCTTCTTGCTGCTCGGGGTCTTGCTCTGCCGAGGCAGGGGCTGCGGCGGCGGGCTCGGAGGCTTGGCCTCGCCCCGCCGCTGGCCCTTCCTCTTCCTTCCGCCCGAGGACAATGCGGCCACGGGGGTCAGCCGAATGGATATGGACCTGCCGCCGCTGGCACCTGCGGCCACCGCGGTGGATGCCGCCCACGCCGACGCCGCCGCCCTGGCGCCGCGTAGCAGGAGCATCTTCGGTTTCCCCCTCCTCCCTCGCTTATCCCCGCTCTGCTTCCGCGCGAGGGCAAGCCTGATGACGCCTCAAACAGGGCTCGCAGTATCCCAATTCAGCCCAAGACAAACATTGTAGGCCCAAATGTGAGGATGCTATCAGAGGCCCGTAATAGAATGGCCAGCAACTGAAATTTTGTTTGCAAATATACCAAGATTATTACTTCATTTTATCCCAAGTCAAAACTTTTTATAATGACAACTAAGAGCATCTCCAGGAGTTTGGTAAAATAACTCCCTATCTTAATTTTTTAGCAAAACAAAAAAAAAATCTCCTCTAGTAGTTTGGTAAAAGAGCTCCTTAAAAATAAAAAGTTGTCAAATATCCTCCTCAGCTCGTAGATTTCCAAAGTTGAGAGAACTCCCTATCTCTCCTGTATGGACCTGTTTTCATAGTACTTCTCACGCGAGAGCTTGTTTTTGCCGCGAGATATATTGTTGGCGTGATGTGTTTCTCCACCGCCCTTTGGTCCGGCCGTCGCTGGTATGTACCTACCTCCATCGCCGCCGCCCTGCAGGTCAACGTCGCCGCTGAGTGCTTGCCTCCACCGGTGTTTATTGATCTCCGGTTGGAAGGCATGGCCTGCTATCTTCATGTGTGCAGTGTGCTCACCGCTTCGCCGGAAGGCATGGAGCTGGGCACGCTTTGCCGACCGTACGTAGCTGGCCGAGCCAAACCTTGGGATCGGATCGGTGCCGCGTCAATGCGGTGCTGAGTAGATGTAATTTTCTTTTCATTTTTTATGAACAACACAGTAAACCAAAAAATAATTAAATTTGAGCCCTACTATAATTTTTAAAAAGTTATTATAGGAGAATGTTAGAGAAGGACAAAAATTAAGGTTGCTATTTTTTTTGCTAACTTGCTAAATTGATTAGTTTAGCAAGAGTTTAGCAAGCAAATTATACCAAACTCCGGGAGATGCTCTAAGTTAACTACACATAATTCATGATGGATTTTGATGACACTAGTTTGATCTTATAAAATGTTGTTGGATTGGGTTAAAGTTACAATAGTAGGAGAGTAGTAGTATAAACTAGAAGATATCTCCGCCTTGCTGCGGAAATCTTTTAAAAATAAAATCGTTGCATATATGAGTTAAATCATCTATATATCTATCTATATCTCTTATAGTCCTAAACCGTACTAGCTATATATCTCAACATACAAGCTATCTACCCTACCAATGCACTATCATATGCAATTACGACCCACTAGCACATGTGATTGTAATGTCCATGTCATCAAGACACGTAAGCATTTGTTGTCTAGGTCAGCATATCACGTAATCCAATAATCCGTAATTCCCGCAGTAACACGTGGGTATGCTTCTAGTTCTTACATCATTCTTATCAAAATTAGTTGCGTTAAGAGGTTGGAAGTTAGTGGGATGATGTGGCTATTGGTAGGAGATGATGTGATAGTTAATGGACAACGATGTGGATGGCTTACATGCTAAGATAAAACTTGTAGTGGGGTTTAGCTGTATAAGAGACATCATTCTTATCAAAATTGGTTGCATTAAGAGGTTGAAACTTAGCGGGATGATGTGGCTATTAGTAGGAGATGATGTGGATAGTTAATGGATAATGAATGTGGATGTTACATCATTTTTATCAAAATTGGTTGCATTAAGGGGTTGGAAGTTAGTGAGATGACGTGGCTATAGGAGATGATGTGGATAGCTAGTGGACAACGATGTGGATGGTTTACATGTTGAGATAAAACTTGTAATGGGGATTAGTTATATAAGAGACATTATTCTTATCAAAATTGGTTGTATTAAGTTAGTGGACAACCGTGATATAGCCACGGCCGCCGCACCACGTGCATGTCGATCGAACTTACACACAGACATACACGCAAAGACGGGTCGAGGAAATCATATATAACAAACAAAATTAAGTAGGTGATGGACTATCCACAAACAATGGAGGACAGCAATGTTATGGTGTTCGCGGTAGGCGTGGCCATGCTGCTCCTTGTCGTCTCCAAGCTCGGATCTCTGCTCGTCACCAAGAACAAGAAGTCGAAGCTCAACCTCCCCCCGGGGCCATGGACGCTACCGTTGATCGGCAGCGTCCACCACCTGGTGAGCAACCCAGTGATCCACCGGGGGCTCCGCGACCTCTCACGCAAGCACGGGCCGCTGATGATGCTCCGGCTGGGCGAGGTGCCCACACTGGTGGTGTCGTCGGCAGAGGCGGCGGAGACGGTGACGAAGATGCACGACATCGCGTTCGCCGACCGCTACGTGAACGCCACCCTGGCGGTGCTCACCTTCAACGGCACTGACTTCGCGTTCGGGGCATACGGCGAGCGGTGGCGCCAGCTTCGCAAGATCTGCGTGCTGGAGCTGCTGAGCGCCGCGCGAGTGCGGTCGTTCCAGCGCGTCCGCGAGGAGGAGGTGGTACGGTTCGTGGGGAGCCTCGCTGCGTCCGCGTCCGCCGGCGCCGCAGTGGACCTGACCAAGATGATCTCCAGGCTCATCAACGACACCTTCGTGATGGAGTGCATCGGCAGCCGGTACGAGCACCGGGACGAGTACCTGGACGCCCTGGGCACCGGGGTCCAGCAGACGTCGGGGCTCACCGTGGCCGACCTCTTCCCGTCGTCGAGGTTGATGCAGATGCTCGGCACGGCTCCGCGCAAGGCGCTCGCCTGCCGCAACAGGATCACGCGCATCCTGGACGAGATCATCCGCGAAAAGAGGGAGGCCATGGCCATGGACCGCGGCGACAAGGCGGCGGCGCACGATGGCTTGCTCAGCGTCCTGCTCAGGCTCCAGAAAGAGGACACCTTGCCCATCCCGCTCACCAACGACACCATCGTCGCGCTCATGTTTGTAAGTCTATCATATGTCTAGCTAGCTATATAGCTTATCCGTCACAGTCGCATGCAATGCAAGCTGCTCAACTTTCTTTCTCTCCTACTAGGATTTGTTTGCCGCGGGCAGCGACACCTCGTCCACGACGCTCAACTGGTGCATGACGCAGCTGGTCCGGCACCCGGCGGCGATGAGCAGAGCCCAAGCCGAGGTCCGGGAGGCCTTCAAGGGGAAGGGCGCACTCACCGAGGACGACCTCGCCGCGGCGGAGCTGGACTACCTCAAGCTCGTGGTCAAGGAGACTCTGAGGCTGCACTGCCCGGTGCCGCTCCTGATCCCGCGCCGGTGCCGCGAGACGGTCCATGTGATGGGCTACGACGTCCCCAAGGGAACGGCCGTGTTCGTCAACATGTGGGCGGTCTGCAGGGACCCCAAATACTGGGACGCAACCGCCGAGGAGTTCAGGCCCGAGCGGTTCGAGGAGAAGACGAAGAGCAGTGGCGTCGACTTCAAAGGGACAAACTACGAGTTCCTTCCGTTCGGGTCCGGCCGCCGTATGTGCCCAGGCGTCAACCTCGGGCTCGCCAACATCGAGCTCGCGCTGGCCAGTCTTCTCTACCACTTCGACTGGAAACTGCCCCGCGGAATGGAGCCCAAGGACGTCGATGATGGGGAGGCTGCAGGACTGATCCTAAAGAAGAAAACGGGACTCGTCTTGCACCCGATCATCCGCTTTGCACCAGCTAGCGCGTAAAAATTAAAATGCTGCGCCAAGCATTACAGGAACAATATGTGCAGGTGCGCTGTGGACAATATGGAAGACTAGGAACGATGTGATGTTCAACAAGAAGGTGCTGTCTTCACCGATGGTGATCATCTACAACTACAAGACCTTGATGCTGATTAAGACCTGGCGACCCCTTCTGAAGCCGAAGCTGAGGCCCTGATCAACCTGCTCTCAATGAGTGCTTTTTAAGTAGCTGTGATGTCTTTGGAGTGATGTTTGTTCTAGTAGTTGGTTAGTTGAGTTGTTAGATAGTGAGTTGGTTGCTGAATGTTAGTTGATGTCTCTGTTCGTTAAACTGTAAAACTGGTAACCCCATGTCGGATCTTTGGGCTTCGTTAAGATTTTTAATAAAGCCGTGTGAATGCCTTTGATCTAAAAACATTATAGAGTTATGATGCATATGCCACTACACGAATGAAAAGAACTATAAAATGTTATATGCCACATAATTTTGGACGACAAATGGACTAAAATAATGCTATATATATGTCAGCGTTAATCAGTTGCTCCAGAAAATATTACTGGGTGGCCATGCATTTACATCCCAAAGTCTGGCACACATGGACTATGTATATCCAACCATTTTTACCAGGCCGCCCACTCTCTTGTTAAATATGTAATATGTAATATATGGACTCCATCAAGCAGTAAATTCTCTTTTGGTTTTCTAGTGTTCTATATTGATGTAAATTGTACCACCGTAGCAAAAGTGAAAGGAGAGTTACAATGTACACGTATGTACTCTACTTAATTGAAAGGGCGAGTTTTTTCATTGCTTTTTTTCCCTAAAAATAGAGTTGCAATATGTGGCATGTTACTATATTGATAACATAAGTTGTACCACTATAGCAATAGTGAAAGGAGAGTTACAATGTACACCTATTTACTTATATATGCTTACTTGAAAAACCAAGCTTTGCATTGCTTTTTTTTCCTAAAAAAAATTTGCAATATGCGGCATGTTACTATATTGATAACAATGATAGTGTAACACGACACCAATACGGAGGTAATATATAAATTGTTGGCCTCAACCGAAGTCTTAGATAATTAGGTTTGCTATTTGCAGCATCTGTGTCTACTTTATTCTTGAGGAGCGCTATTTATATTGCCAAGCTTACAACATGGGAACAGAAATGCTCCTATTATGTAGCTATATCCTAAGTATACTCCTAGCACATAGAGGTATTTTGGTCCTCAATTTCAGCATGATATCCGTACACAAGAATCCAAATCGGATCTGACTTCCTAGGCCTTACGGGATGAGATGTCGCCTAATTCTTTGCACGTTGTCGGGCCTCGGCCCTGCTCTATGTATTCAGACCAACTGAGATGTCTCTGCTAGGCCCTCTGGCTTCCTGAGACATGACCGCGCCCTTTGGGTTCCAAATGCCCATTCACAACCAGATTTCGAACCGCGCTTAGGCCTGTGTGAGCCAATTTGAGTTTTGTCAGGCTAGTCCTAACGCGACATCGTGTCTGGTGGTCTCAGGCTCCATGTCCATTCTTGACATCCACACTCAGTGTCCACGTCAAGCTGAACAGAGACTTCAAAGATTATCAGGTTAGGGCAAAGCCAACAGAGGCTAACGTTTTGTAGTAGGTTTGATAAAAAAGAGACACCACATCCAACAAGGAGCATCTGAGGCATCTAATCTCATACACGAGCTATCCAAGAGATGCTTTGTGGGGGCCATTTGTTGCATACCTTTTCAATTGTACTTGGGACTACAAGCCCATCCACATCTCTACTTTAGCCTTTGCTCAAACATATAGACCTCACGATAGACTCACTCTCTTACCCTAACCCGTGCTTTAGGGTTAACCGTTGTTTTTTTGTCAGATCATACACCGTTACTTTTGTAGGCACCTTTGTCAACTTGCAAGACGTGACATAGATACTCAGCGCTAATGTGGAGGTTGGGTAGCACGCCACTAGGGTACGTTGGGCCATGCCATAGGGCTTCACTAATGCAGGCTAACAAGTTTGTTGGCCTTAGCCAAAAGTAGAGGTACTCGTAGATAACAAAAAGTAGAGCTCTCAACAGCCTGTTCGTTTGCTCGTATACGATCGTGGATTATAAACTGAAAATAGTATTTTTCTCTCACACCAAACCAACCAGCAGTAAATAATCCACGATCGTTTACGACGAACGAACAGTCAATGGAGGCAGCTCATTTGGTCTGATGCAAGCGGACAACTTTATCTCCTTCCTTGCTGCATGTATTCAACTTTATTCCCTGGGGACCAACGGAGGCAGCTCCCTTCTCTTGCTGCAACGCGCGCTCCAAAGGATGCTTTATCTTTTTGTCAGATGGAGCTATGGACTCCTCTACGGCACACTGCGAGACTACTACTCATGATGATATAGACTTGAGGAGGTTGAGGCAGTAGTTCACGGTGGTGCGTTGGGGAAGCCCTTAGCCACCAGAGAGGCCCCGACTGCTTCATTTGACAAAAAGTTAGAACACGTAGGGCACGTGTTGGAGGCTCGTGGCAAGGAAGAAGTGCTTGCTGGTACATGTTTTTTTGGGACCACCACCACCCAAGGATTTGCGCGCCAGGCTAATGATAGCGACGTCTCTGCAAATGCACAACCTGGATGACAACTTATGTTGGAAAAGAAGCAGCATCCTATTGTACTTTATATGTTGTCTTTTTTTATCTATGTGGTCTTTGACTATTATTCGAGGCTAACACCTCTATCAACCTGTGTTGGTGAAGCCATAACAAGTACATTTGCATTGCATTATATTATTATATCTTATTTGTGTTGAATATTTTACCTTACTAGACCAGTTTAATATGCTACTCACTCTTCAAAATTATAGGATGTTTTGACTTTTTTAGATAATTTTTTGTACTATGTATGTAGACATAGTATAGTATATGTTTTTTTTTCTATGTATCTAGTCATAGCGTAATATCTATATACATAGTAAAAACTATGTATCTAGAAAAGTCAAAACGTCTTATGATTTGAAATTGAGGAAGTAGTTGATATAATTGAAATCTATGCACATTTTTTTTTTGTGCGACAGAGAGCAACATATAGAAAAACTTAAAGTTCATCTAAATACATTTTGTTTAGAATTTTATGTGTGCAAAGATAGGTGGAGTTCCACTAATGATAAATTTAGTTCAAAACATCTCAGTGAAATTTGAAGGAAAGAGAGTTGCACCAAAAAGTTATAAGCAAATTTGCCTGATGCGGAGTCAGACCGAAAGAACTGGACAGAAAGTTCCATGAACCAAATAAAGTTTGCAGAATAAGCGATACTCAGATAGGTCCATGCTTCTCCATGGCGAACAAACATGATACAAAGGCTCAGCACTGCCTATCTGCTAAGCAAATGGAAATGGCACACTAGCCTCATCAAATATTCAAATATGCCTTCTAGCCTGCTACATAGCACAGATACTAGTACAACAACAGTGCAATTAATCACTCGATTGTCTCTCCCTCTATACATGCCTCCTTCACTGCCAGTGGTTCATACCAGGCAGGCTCAAAGCCAGCAGCTTTCCTCGCCTCCGTGTTGAAGGGAGGCTTCAGGGGTCCCCGGAAATATTCTCTTACAACCCCGTGGAAAATCCTAATGACTGCCTCTTCGTCTTTGTCAATACTGTCATCAAGTTTGCACTTGGCCAATCCATCCTTGACATGTTCGATCGCCGTAACTTGTCCATTAGCATCTTCTGCAATCCTGGATGGCAGTTTATCTTCCACCTGCTGGACCATCTTGTCATCATTGCTAACGTCTTTTGCCAGTATGGGTGTAGGTTCACCTTCAGCCTCCCGAGCTGTCTTACCATCAGCAGTACCATCCCCAGACAGCAAAAAGAATCGGGGTTCCAGTTCAGGAACTGGATATGAGGTTGGGTGATTACCGTCGGACCTAAGGCACAGGTATCTGAACCATCTAACACCAGCCGCGCAATGTGTTACCTCTTCAGGATAAATAATATCTTCTAGTAGTCTCGCTGTTTGTTCATCCCCACCTGCTTGGAATCTTGATATGGTTGTTGGAAGGACATCTAATCCCCTAGCCTGAAATTCCAAATGAACATTTATTAGTTGTTTAGTTGTCTGAAAAAACTGCTGATTTCTGATGCTAAATGGAAGTGGGGAAAACCCGGTTCAAAAAAAACTTATTAGTTATTCATGCGTACATGTGATTCATAAGAGTTTATCATCTCATGGGCAGTGCAGCTAAATGATATCCTTCATGTAACTCAGATAACTGCAGCCTTATAAATCTGCAGACCACTTAAGTGATCACAGTTAGCCTCGCATGCAGCATCTGATGGGCAATAAGCTTAAGAAAACATTTCTAAGTGCAGGAAAAACAGTTAAAGATCTGGAAAGATGTCTTTGTAAGTTTAGAGAAGAAACTGCATTAAAGGGTCACTTATTCCCCTGCAGGATATATGTTTTCATATCATACCCTATGTCCAATTACCATATCAATTCTCAAATTGCATCCTCTTGCGTAATTAATTGGCTGACAGTACAAATAAAGAAGTTGCATTTATGCTATCAAAACCTCAAACATGGTACAGTGTTTTCCTCTCACAACAAATCAGCCGCAGAAACCATCAGCCGAACGGACCTTTGATTTCACTTGTTCAATAGCTCCGTGGCCTGTGACCACCCCAAACCTTTGATCTTTAAATTTTTTTACTACAACGCTGAGTTGAAATGCGTATGTTGCGTTGGATTTGCGGTCATACAAGAAGGGATCGAGTTTGGAACGATGATATACGTAATAGATTTGGGGTAGCACCAATTGAAGAAAAACTTGTCCAACACCGGTTGAGATGGTTTGGACATGTCCAACGGAGACCTCCAGAGGCACCGGTGCGTAGTGGAATCCTAAGCCAGGATAGTAACGTGAAGAGAGGCAGAGGAAGACCGAAGTTGACTTGAGTAGAGGCAATAAAAGGAGACTTGAAATGATGGAATATACCCAAAGACTTAGCCTTAGATAGGAGTGCTTGGAAAACAGCTATTCACGTGCCTGAACCTTGATGGCATCTGCTGGGTTTCAACTCTAGCCTACCCAAATTGTTTGGGACTTAAAGGCTTTGTTGTTGTTGTTGTTGTTGCTGCTGCTGCTGCTGAGTTGACGACCAAGAGAATTTACAGATAACTCCATCCCCAATTGCTCTTGCTAACTTCAGGAAACATTGGAATGGATAGAAAAATGAAGTAATCGAGTAAGTTTTTTCCTGCCTGTTCTTCAAGCTTTCTGGTTTGAGAGAACATCCACCTTCCAAATCTCATTTTTTATCAGTTTACTCATAAACTCATGGTGGCCAATTTTTAAGGAGATCTTCATGGTGGCAGCATGGGCAATCTGGACACACTGAAATGGTGTCAGTTTTGGCAGCGACAAGGTGGAAGAAATCCTTCAATGATGAATTGGAGTTGATTGTTCTTATGGCCAAGACTTGTAAGAATATCTTCTTAGAAGTTGGCTAGATTCCTCTTCTTAGTTTTGTTCTTTTGTGTTTTTCCTTTCTAAGAACATCGACCTCACTCTTACCAGGACTAATCGGACTTGGCAAAGAAATGCAGATTAATGTGTTGGGACCAATAGTGCCTGAATCGAATAAATGTATGTATGTATTGCAAAGGCATTGCTCCTCACCTCGTGGACACAGTGCTCGACGGCGAGGCGCGCGAGGAGGCTATGCGAGGTGCGCATCGCCGAGTCCCATAGCCCGTCGTGCGCCGGGAGGGCGCCGTAGTGCGACCCGAGGTCCCTGAGCCGCGCCGAGAGCACCGTGTAGTGCCTCCCCTCGTCCTGCGCGACGCGCGCAAAGTCGTCGAAGAACTCGCGGGGCATCCGCATCGCGGCGCCGAACCGGGCGACGATGTCCCAGGAGAGGTCGACGGCCCAGCTCTCGGTGTGCGCCAGCGAGTGGAGCATGGCGAGCCGGCTCTGCGCGCTGCCGCCCTTGCCCAGCTTGGGCATCCGCGACGGCGGGAGCAGCCGCACCCCGGCGCTCCGGGCGGGGCGGTCGGGCGGCGGGCGCGCGGGGCGGGACGGGTCGTAGGGGAGCGGGATGTCCCCGCGCAGCCACCGCGACGCGGCGAGGTCCCCGAGGCGGGCCTTCTCGTCCGGGTCGGCCGTGGAGAGGATCTCCAGCGCCCAGTCCACCAGCGTCTTGGGAGGTTCGTGGGACTCCGTGCCGCCGCTGGCGGTGACGGGTTCGCCGGCTGTAGCCTCCATCTGCAGTAGCACGCGCGGCACGGAATGAGTCCCGGAGTTCTAGCCGCCGCCGCCGTCGGCCGTCGCAGCGTGTCTAGGGTGGTCGTCAGCCTCGGACAGGAATGTCTCTTCCTTCCGGAATGGGCCGTATTTCCCTTTCTGGCCTTCTGGGCCGTTTGATGCGGGCCGAATTTTCTTCTCTTTTATATATCTTCCATGAGTTGCTAAAAAATATATCTTCCATGTATAAACTTCGATGTTGCTAAAAAAATGTATAAACTTCGATTCTGAACATAGAAAAATTGCATGAATGTAGAACAAGACATTGCTTGCATTGCTTCCATGTATAAACTTCAGTCTGGACTCTAGCTGGAGTAGCATTGCTTGCATTCAACGGTGACCTCAGACAGATTAGTATTCAGTCTGGATCTGTAATGCAAACGCCCTTCCTGAAACGTTTATGAGAAAGAAATCAAGGCTGGATGGCTTTTCCCTTGCACAAGCTTCCATCCGGCAACGAATCGAAGATGCCGGCAGGTTGAACAGGCCCACGAGGAGTGGATAAGATCGCAGGAACAGTAGTAATCGATTTAAAAATCAGAAGTGATGGTACATATTTTCACTTGGTCTTCAGATAGATCGAACATCGAACATATATCCGTTAAGAAATCAGAAGTGTCCCTTTCCTGCATCCCCGCTCGCGCGGAGGCGGGTAGAATGTGGTATGGCCAGCCAGCCAATGGGCCATCACGCTCTCGTTATCTTATCCGAACCTGTCTATGATAGATTAACAGGACCGACTAGCGATAGATCTTACGGGTATAAACTTGAATTTAGAACATGATAAACCTTAGAACACGAACTAGTACGATGAAACAGAGTGAGAGAGAGAGAGAGAGAGGAATACAGGGTTAGCAAACCATCGGTCGCCTTGGAGGTAGATGAGCTGGCCATGGCGTCGGTGTCGGTGACGCGGGTGTCCGGCGGTGAGGTCGAAGATGCGGTCGCAGACGCGGCGGTGGCGACTTCCCGTCGCTGGCAGCGCCCTCTCTCTAGATCGGCTTAGGGTTAGGATGTAGGTGGGGATTGTGGTGGCTCAGGTGAACCTCGTGCCTTGTGCCCCGGCCCCCACCTCTCTTTTTATGGCGCTGTGCGACAGGGGCCCACCAACCATAGTTAGGGTTGGACGCCCTCGATCAGAGCGCGGATCAAGGCCCAATTGACCGTTGGACCAACTGGTGGGATCAATCTAACAGTATCATCATGGAGATAGTGTGTGAGAGAGTGCAGGGAGAGCCAGGTAGTCAGTCATCTTGCCAGCAAGAACAACTGTAGCTAGAATTGGGTGATGCATGGAGGTGGCCGGAGGAGGAGCCGCTGTTGTTGTTGGTGCGTCGTCCCCGCGGCGGGTGGTGGTGGTGGACGAGAGCGAGGAGAGCATGCACGCGCTCTCTTGGTACCTCTCCAACGTCGCCGCCGTGGTGCTCGTCCACGCCCGCTCCCCGCGCCCGTTCTACTACCCCTGCATCGACGGCGCCGGTGAGATGACGACGATGATTCTTCTTCTTCTTGGCGTCTACAGTTGTTCGTCCCTGATCGAGCATCTGTGACGACGGATCGCGGTTCGTAGGGTGCATCCTGACGCAGCTGGTGATGGACAGCATGGACCAATACATGGCGTCCGCGGCGGACACCGTCATCACCAAGGCCAAGAGCATCTGCACCGCGTTCCCCAACGTACCTGATGTTAGCTAATCTACTGCCACCTTGTGTGAAACACAACAGAGGAAGGCGGCGCCGACTTTGCCCCCCTCACATAATCTGAGAGCAGCCTGAGGTGCAGGCACCGCATGGCTCACCTGCAAGACCTTTGAGGCACATGCATGGGTGGCGCAGCAGAGTCACCCATATACTTATTTAGTTTCTTTACATAAAGCATGTGCGGCTGTACTTTAGTTAGATAGATAGAGTTGTATAAATAGGGCACCAAGGCAACTCAGTAAAGAGAGCTTAGATTTGCCATCATACAGACAGGGCCTCGGCCAATGTTGTTGTCTTGTATTGTGCGTGTTTGCTCTGTTCTCCCTTCTTCTTCTAGCTCGATCCGTAGTGTGTGGGTACGGACACAACCGGTATAGTGGTCTGGGAGACTAGTGGTCTGGTCTGAGAGACTAGTGGTCTGATCTGGAAGACTAGTGGTCTGGGAGACTAGTGGTCTGGTCTGGGAGACTAGTGGTCTGGAGACTAGTTCACTATCGTCAGACGGTGATCCCGTGGGCCAACAAGTGGTATCGGAGCCGTACAAGCGCCGTCGTCATTCTAACCGATGGCGAGGACAGGCGGTTTGGAGTTGGGCGATGGTAGTGGCATCATCATAGCTGCCACCACTACTGAGGAGGTAGTTGTCCTGCGGTGCGGGAGGTCAGCGGCACCACTTGGCCGACGCTGACTCGCACTAACTATGGAGAGTGGTCGGTGACCATGAAGGTCAAGCTCAGAGCCCGATGGCTCTGGAATGCTGTTGACAAGGGCACCGACATGGAAGAAGACGACATGTCAGCGTTGGAGGCTATCCTCGCTGCTGTACCGGCGGAGTATAGGGAATCGTTGGGGACGAAGAGCTCAGCTAAGGAGGCGTGGGATGCCATTGCGGCGATGCGCGTCGGTTCCGACCGCGCAAAGAAGGCAACGGCCCAGCTTCTGAAGCAGGAGTATGCAAACCTCAAGTTTAAGGATGGTGAAATAGTGGAAGACTTTTCCCTCCGCCTGCAGACGCTCATCAGCAAGCTGAAGAGCCACGGCGTCACCATCGATGAAGAGGAGGCGGTCTCCAAATTCCTCCACTCCGTGCCGGCAAAGTATATCTAGATCGCTTGGACTTGTCCACCCTCACCATCGAGGATGTGGCAGGCCGTCTGCGGGCGGTGGACGAGCGCCTGGAGCAGGCGACAGTAACAAAGGACAGCGGGAAACTCCTGCTGACGGAAGAGGAGTGGGCTGCTCGGTGAAACTCCGGGAAGGCAGCCTCCTCCAGTCGCGGTGGCAACGGCAAACATCGTGGCAGGGCTTCTTCGGAGAAGAAGCAAATCGACTCCAACGCCTATCGGTGTTGCGGGAAGATGGGCCATTGGACACGGGAGTGCCCAAATCGCAAGAAGGAAAAGAAGGCTCAGGCTCACCTGGCGAAAGCCGATGATGAGGATGAGGCCACTATCCTTATGGTGATGTTCTGTGCACTGCACGACGTCGAGGCCATGGAGAGGGAAGAGGCGACGACGGTGGAAGGATCTAGCAAGGCCCTGAAGACCGTCAACCTCGACGAACCATGCGCCCAAGTCCATCTTGGGCATGTGGGCGTCGACCAGGAGCAACGGTGGTATCTGGACTCTGGTGCCAGTAACCACATGACGGGCTCCAAGGACTCCTTCTCTGAGCTCGACGGTGATGTTACCGGTACGGTGAAGTTTGGTGACGGCTCAAGGGTGGCTATCCAAGGGCGCGGCACCATCATCTTCAGATGCCAGAACGGGGAGCACCGCGCGCTAACGAATGTATACTACATCCCGCAGCTATGTTCCAGCATCATCAACATTGGTCAGCTCGATGAGGGCGGTAGCGAGGTTCTGATCAAGGACGGCGTTCTGAGGATCAGAGATCAGGAGCAGCGACTTCTCGCCAAGGTGAAGAGGTCCCTGAACCAGTTGTACCTGCTCGACCTGAAGGTAGAGCAGCCGGTTTGCCTGGCGGCAAGGCACTCTGAGGAACCGTGGATGTGGCATGCCCGGTTCGGACATCTCAGCTTCGACGCGCTTGGTCAGCTGGGGAAGATGGTCCGAGGGCTACCCCACATCAAACACGGAGGCGAGCTGTGTGACAGCTGCCTGGCCGGGAAGCAGAGGAGGCTACCTTTCCCAAAGGCGGCCAAGTATCGCGCGAAGGAAGCTCTCGAGCTAGTTCACGGCGACCTCTGCGGGCCGATCATGCCTGCTACATGCGGTGGTCGGCGGTACTTCCTCCTACTCGTAGACGATTGCAGTCGCTACATGTGGCTGCAACTCCTGACGAGCAAGGACGAAGCGGCAATGGCGATCAAGAAGTTCAAGACACGCGTGGAGGCCAAGAGCGGCAAGAAGCTCCGTGTACTGAGGACTGATCGGGGTGGCGAATTCACTTCGGTGGAGTTTGCTACGTACTGCGCGGATCAAGGTGTGGGGCAACATCACACCGCGCCGTACTCGCCACAACAGAATGGCGTGGTGGAGCGACGGAACCAGACAGCGGTCGACATGGCCCGATCCATGATGAAGGCCAAAGGGATGCCGGTAAAGTTCTGGGGAGAGGTGGTGACCACGGCGGTGTTCATCCTCAACCGCGCTCAAACCAAAGCCCTAACGGGCAAGACACCGTTCGAAGCTTGGTACGGAAGCAAGCCGAACGTGTTATTCCTCTGGACATTCGGTTGCATCGGCCACGTCAGGAAGACGAAGCCGAACCTCACCAAGATGGAGGACAGGAGCACACCCATGGTGTTCCTGGGCTATGTGGAGGGTACCAAGGCGTACCGGCTCTATGACCCACGCGGAGATAAGGTGACTGTCTCGCGCGACGTTGTGTTCAACGAGGAGGCAGCTTAGGACTGGCACAGTCCAAGCACGGGGGAAGCGGGAGGCTTCACCAACACCTTCGTCGTCGAGCACTTGGTCATCCACGGCGGTGGAGACGCTACGGAACAGGTGTCACGCACTCCGGGAGGAGCGCCGAGCACTCCGGCGGTAGAGTCGAGCACTTCTAGGGCAGTACCGAGCACTTCAGGAGGGATGCCGAGCACTCCGAGAAGAGTGTCGAGCACTTCTAGAGGGATGCCGAGCACGCCAGGAGTGGAGCCAGGAGGTTCTATAGTGGTGGCGACCACTTCAGGACGGGTGTCGAGCACTCCCGTGGCGGAGGTAAGACGTCTTACTGTGGTTCCGACCACTCCAAGACTGAGGCTGGGCACTCCTACAGTGTGGCCGAACACTGCAGGAGTTATGACGAAGTCGCGAGCGATAAAGGCCGAGCACCGGGTGCTATCGCGTGGCACTCCGGCGGAAGAAGGAACTCCATCACCCCGATCAAGTTCACCTCACCTCCAAGTGACATCACCGAGTTCGTGGACGCCTACCACGAAGGTGAGAAGTTGAGGTTCCATGATCTGGACGACATCGTCGGCGGCGACAGTCCCTCAGTCTGGCGGGTTGGTCGCTTAACGACGCAGAGCTGCTACTCATCGGTCTGCAGGAACAACCCACGTTCATGCTAGCCGCCGAGCGCGATGGAAGCTGGCGGACGGGCAATCTTTGGAGGAGATAAAGCGATCGAGAAAACAAGACTTGGCGGCTCGTTGATCCACCCCGGTGATGCCGTCCGATCAGCTGAAGTGGGTGTACAAAGTCAAAAGGGACGATTTCGGCGCCATTGTCAAGTACAAAAAGGCACGCCTCGTCGCCCCGAGGCTTTGTCGGCGCGAGGGCATCGACTTCGAGGAGGTCTTTGCACCAAGAGCACGCATGGAGTCGATCCGCTTCCTACTTGCTTTGGCGGCAACAAAGGATGGCGCGTCCATCACTTGGACGTTAAATCGGCCTTCCTCAACGGTGAGTGGCGGAAACGGTCTTCGTCGAGGCAACCTCCGTGGTTATTTGTCAAGGAGAGAGAGCGCAGGTGCTTCGATCGCGCAAAGCGCCCACTGGTGAGGCAAGCCCCTCGAGCATGGAACGCCAAGCTTGACACCACACCGGGCGAGCTTGAGTTTCAGAGAGTGCGCGAACCGAAGCACGCGCTCTACACGCGACGACGGGGAAGGAAGAACTCGTGGTCGGCGTGTATGTGGATGACTTAATCATCACCGGGCGCAGCGACGGAGGATATCAACAGACTTCAAGCGAGAGATGACAACTCGTTTTGAATGAGCGATCTCGGCGCTCTCTCCTACTACCTCGACATCGAGGTGAGACGGGGAAGGAGGAACTCACGCCGGGCAAAGCGCGTATGCCTCAAGCTGTTGGAGAGGAGCGGCATGGTGGAGTGCAAGCCATGCGTGACTGACTGGATGGAGGAGCGGTGAAGTCGACGGCGACAAAGACCGCGGCGAAAGTAGATGCAACACTCTCTATCGGAGCATCGTCGTGGTGCGCTACTACCTAGTCCACACAAGGTCGGACATTGCGTTCGCCGTGGGCTACGTCGATCGCTTCATGGAGGATCCCAGAGAGGATCACTGGGCTGCGGTGAAGCGGCTACTACGCTACGTCAAGGGGATGGTGAATCATGGAATCATCTTCCCAAAGATCGGGGGAAGTAGGCTGCAGCTCACGGTGTTCAGCGATGCAGACATGACGGGGGACATCGACGGACGACGGAGCACCTTTGGCGTACTCGTCTTCCTCGGGTCGGCCCCAATTTCATGGTCGTCGTTGAAGCAGAAGGTGGTGGCGCTATCTACATGCGGCGATGCGTAGCAACGAACCGCGGTGGCGTGCCAAGGTTGTGTTGTGTGGCATTACGCGGCTGCTAGGCGAGCTAACCGGAGTGGAAGCTCACCCACCAGCACTGATGGTGGATAACCAGCCCGCCATCGCCCTCGCGAAGAATCCGGTTCTGCACGACCGGAGTAAACACATTGACGTGAAGTTCCACTTCCTCAGGGACTGTGTTGATGGAGGACAAATCGTCATCGAGTTTGTCAAAACTGGTCGGCAACTCGTGGACGTCCTCACCAAGCCGCTCGGACGACTTCGACTCACGGAGCTGAAGGAGATGATTGGCATGGAGGGGGTGCAAGGGTTAGCAGTAGGATTAGGGGAAGATTGTTAGCTAATCTACTGCCACCTTGTGTGAAACACAGCAGAGGAAGGCGGCGCCGATTTTGCCCCCTGCTGTAATCTGAGAGCAGTTGTAGGTGCGAGCGCCGCATAGCTCACCTGCAAAGATCAGAGGCACATGCACGTGGTGGCGTGAGAGTCAGCCCTCGTATACTTATCTAATTCTTTATTACAGACATGTGCGGCTGTATTTTAGTTAGATAGATAGAGTTGTATAAATAGGGCACCAAGACAACTCAGTAAAGAGAGCTTAGATTTGCCATCACACAGACAGGGCCTCGGCCAACGTTGTTGTCTTGTATTGTGCGTGTTTGCTCTGTTCTCCCTTCTTCTTCTAGCTCGATCCGTAGTGTGTGGGTACGGACACAACCGGTATAGTGGTCTGGAAGATTAGTGGTCTGAGAAGACTAGTGGTCTGGTCTGGGAGACTAGTGGTCTGAGAAGACTAGTGGTCTAGATCTGAAAGACTAGTGGTCTAGAAGACTAGTGGTCTGGTCTGGAAGACTAGTGGTCTGGAGACACTATCGTCGGACGGTGATCCCGTGGGCCAACACCTGACAGCATCTGGCTGGCGACAGCGTCCAAATTATGTAGTTTCGTTGATCTGTCATAGACGATCCTGCAGGCAGCTGAAATTAATCCAGAGGATTTATGGAGGTTTCATATTGGATTATTTCTAGACTGGTTTGGTGTGAGAGAAAAACAGCTGAAATTAATGAAAACCAGAGAGGATTTGATTTATTTGCCACGCTTGCATTGCAGGTGAGGGTGGAGACGTGCGTGGAGAAGGGCGACCCGCGCGACGTGATCTGCGGCGCCGCGGAGAAGGCCGGCGCCGACTTGCTGGTGATGGGCAGCCACGGCTACGGCTTCCTGCAGAGGGCGCTGCTGGGGAGCGTCAGCAACCACTGCGTGCAGAACTGCAAGTGCCCCGTCGTCGTCGTCAAGAGGCCCGACAGCAAGCAGCAGCGGGCGCGCGGCGGCGCGAGTCTTGGCTCGCCTTGAGACTTGAGAGTTAAGCCTGGGTAGTGGGTACCACGCCCTCTCCTCGGTGAAACGTGATGATGGCCCTGTCCCCTGTACATAGCCATAGCCCATAGGAGTACTTAAGCTTTGGTAGTTTCTTTGCTTGTATATATAATATATAATATGATGTTCCCGATCACTAGCTGTCATTGTATTGGCGCAGTGTCTGCACATATATAGTTGCTTCCAATTTGTATGTAATCTGCGAATGGAACATATTATTCCAATAAAAATTTCGAGCATGCAACACCTTGCACCGCTACATGTCTTATGCAGTTCTGCTTCACCGAGTTGCTTATGAAAATGCGTGAAAGACCCCCAGCCTCCAAATAAATGCAAGTAGCCGCAACCTAAAACAGCAAACTAACTAAAATAGAGGCAATTCCAGTTCAAAATATTCAAGAATAATAAAAAAGTATATAATTCACTCTTCCACCTTGAAAGAGTAAATAATCCTAAATTTTCACCTAAATTGCCCGCATATGCCATTATTAAATAAACTATAATATATTTTAAACATATTGACATACATGACGTGTGCCACCGTACATATTAAGTATACTTGCATGCATGATCCGCAAGTATATAATTTTTTATAGTCACACAGCAATGACATTGACATTGAAACTTGAATTATATTAGTACTCTATGTAATAAATTATATAAGTTGCTATTTTATATATTTATATGTTTTGATTTGAAGGAAACATCATAACAAATTAGCATTGATAGTTTAGTTATAAGCACTCTTTATAAAGCCAGAGTACACTATTACTCAAGAAAGTATATTTGTTAAAGGAGATTCAACATCTTAAGCATTGTGGTACAAGCTGAAATGTATGCTTATGTTGTTGTAGTAACTGAGAGTATAGTCTAAGATATTTTAATAAAACAGAAAAAAAGTTTTGAATCAAAGTTTGAATAAGTACTAGAGTTCTAACTTAACACGCAGAAAACAGGAGTGCTGGAACTAATAAGATCATGAGCCACAAAAAGAGTTGACGTAACTGAAGTTAAGTACTAAATACATATCGAAATGCAAGCAAAGCGGGAAAATATGAATATGGATGGAAAATCATACAGATTAATTGGTAATGAAGTTTATTACAATCAGATGAATATTGTGAAGTACTTATACGGGTATTGTGTTAAATATGAACAAATAAAGAAAATTAATTTTGATAAGCTATGGTTGCTGAATTTATCCATGAACTTCTAGTTGTATACTCTTGTCTTCTAAGATTATTGGTTGTGCAAGAGCAAGGATTGATTGAATACCTAGCGTGAATAATGGGCCATAATAAATCCTAAAAATTCCCCAAATATAAGTTTAAGAAAATAAGATGAAGGTCTATTACAATTTGTTTATTCAATTTATTTGACATGTACCAAGAAAATTAATTTTGATAAGCTATGGTTGTTGAATACACTTGATGAATCCTTTCACTCTTCAGCTGTAGCTCCGCCACCGCCGCCTTTGATCAGCTCAAGCGCGGAGTCCACAATGCCTGGGAAGCTCTTACGGTGCTTGCCAATACCGACACTGCCGGAGAAGACATGGTAGCTCTCCAGCTCCGATGTGGTATCGGCGATGGACTCGAGCAGGCCCTCCATCCCCGCTCCCCTCAGGAGCTCCATGTATCCGCCACCGCCCGAGCACATCATCAACCAGATGACCTGCTGCACCACGAACCGCCGCATCCGGGGGATCTTGACCTTCGGGTCCTTGTTCTCCCGCAGGATTGCCGCCAGCCGTTGCACATACGCCCGCTCCTCCACGCCGGCGCCGCGCAACTCGGCAGCGAATCGCTCGCCGTCGATGAACCTGCAGATCTGTGTCGTCAGGCCGACGCACACCTCCAGGACCTGGTCCCTGTTCGTCATGGTGACACCCAGTACCACCGGCAGCGCCTTGGTCACCACGCGCAGCCGCTCCCTGTATTCCGGGCCCGAGTAGGCGCACAGGCTCCGCAGCACCCTCGCCGCGTTCAGGCGGCGGGCGTCGTCACCGTCCTGCAACGCCGAGACGAGCTGGAGCACGTCGGCTCGCTTGAGTATCGCCGCGCAACCCGTCTCGCTCTCCAGCGCTAGCATCGCCAGCGCCTCGCCGGCCCCATGGCCGAGCTCTCTCTCCTCGGCACTGACGAATATCGACAGCAGAAGCTTGACCAACCCTCCAGTGCCCATGATCGCTTCCTTTCCGCTGTCGTCCATAGCCAGCCCGGTGAGGACGTCGATGGCCAGCTTCTGCAACTCCCTGTGCAGCTGCCCGTGCCGCAGTATCCCACGCAGGTTGCTCACCACGAACACGTTCTCCGCGACGCCCTGCCGGAGCGCCTTGCCTGTGTTGCCCGTCGTGGACACCAGCATCTTCACCACCTGGAGCGCGCGCTTCACGGCGCGCACCTGAGAGTCGGTTACGTGCTGGTTTCGGAGGAGATCCTTGGAATCCTGCGTGAAATCGATGATCTTGGCGAGCAGGCCGCGCGCGTTGCTGATCTTCTCGCAGTTGTCCTGGTCTCTGGCGAGCTTCTTGAGGATGCGTAGGCCCAGCAGGTTGAATGGCAGGTGGTCGTAGTCGCGGAGCCCTGGCAAGGGCCCACCCTCACCGGCAGCACCGTTCGGTTGCGGGTGCATGCCGGACACGGCCGCGCTCCTTCCTGTGTAGAGCAGGGACATGACGGACTCGATGGCGCCGGGGATGGCGGACAAGCGGAGCCGGTTCTGGCGCTTGCCGGCGAGCTTGCAGACGACCCCCGCCGCTGACCGGCGCACCTCCTCCTCATCAGGCCGCTTCCAGTTGAGCATCTCGACGAGCCGCTCGACGGACCGGGGGCTAGTACCGACCTTGCGCAGCGTATCGCCCGCCGAGTCCACCTTCTCGGCGAACTGCTCTAGGATGCGCACGCCGATGAGCTGCTCCTCCAGGAAATCGGACAGGATGAGCTCCTCCGCGAAGGTGACGAGGTCCATGTTGATGCCGTCGAAGATGCTGCCAGTGACGCACCGGGAGTAGGCGTCGTAGAAGAACCGCGTGAGGGACACGTGACCGTACGCGCCCAGCTGGCAGTCCTTGCTCACCTGACAGAGCAGCTCGCAGGAGAACTTCCATGCCCAGTAGGCCTTCTCCAGAAGGAAGAGCACCGCCTCCAGCAACGCCAGGGTGTAGAAGAGCAGAAGCGCAGGCCTCATGTTGCCGCTGCCGCCGAAGTCGTGCTTCCAGAGGCGCATCAGCGAGAGCGCGACGCAGGCCAACGCCGAGAGCACCTGCAGCCAGTTGAGCAACCGGCCGATGTTCCTAGAGGTGAACACCTGGCCGGTGTAGGGGAGCAGCGACACACCATTTGGCGCGTGCCCAGTGCGCTTCTTCATGACGGCCGCGATCTGGTTCTGGAACCTCGCCGACGTCGTCGCGTCGCCGCTGACATCTGCACCGTCCGCTGCCGGCTGGGCCAGGGAGTGCACGACGCGTCGGAAGAACCGGGAGCTAGAGCGCAGCGCGCCGCCCGCGTCGGTGGTTTGCGTGGCGTGCTGATGCGGCTCCTGTTCGTCGCGGCCGCCGCCGCCGGTATGGTCGACGAGGGCGTGCAGGATGCGGCGAAAGAATCGGGAGCTGGAGCGGAGCGCGCCGCCAGCGGTGGAGGTTTCCGTGGCGTGGTGCTGCCACTCCAGCTCGTGGCTGCGGCTGAAGACGCGCGCCCTCGCCGATGAGGATCACGGTGATGCACCAGAAGTCGGTGACGTTGAGGCTGCCCACGAAGCCGCCGAGAAGCACGACGGTGGCCCACACGAAGTTGAGCTTCCCAAGCCCGCTCGCCGCCTTCTCGAGGATGGCCACACGGAGCGCCAACAGCGTGAGCTGCTTCTCCGGCGGGTCGCTCCTACCATAACCAGCGCTGCTGCCACTGCGGACACTTCCGCTTCCAGGCGTCGGCGTCGGCGTCCACGACTCGGAGAAGGGCGCCGACCCGCCGCCGCCGGGGTGAACCGTAATGTCAAGCTTGATGCTCGGTGGCAGATCGCCGCCGCCTTTCTGTGACTTGTCGCCGTTGGAGTCGCGGCCCTTCCTGTACTTCATGGCGCCCGACGTGTATGCAGGCTCACCGGTTATTCCAAGAAATGGAGCAGCTGCCGCGTCAAATAGAGCGCATAAATTCGAAAGGAATGGAGACGCGGCTCTATATGACGATTGTTTGTAGGTTGGGACATGGAAAGTTCCGCGAGGAGTCGACAGTTCTTGGAGCGAATTCAACAAGGATTTAGCGTGAACAGACAAATCGCGCAGGAGGAGGGAACTGACGAGAAGGAGCTCATAAACGGTGACGTCTTGTGTCTTGGCGTGTGAAAATGGTGGCGACGTGATTAGAAATTTGGAAGAATTCAAGATTGCATGGCTCGAACCATTCAGGATTGAACCCAGTTGTAAGAACAAGTGGACAATAACAATCTGGCGGTTTAGAAAAAAAAAAGAATGTAAGAAAACTGTGGAAAGGAAGGTTCTTCTGAATATCTGATGAAAGATCTTTCCAGTGATGGACATCGCCTAATTGTACGGTGATGATTACGTCTGCCAATTTTTTTAACGGCTAGCAGTCTTTTCACTCTCAAGATAAGTGCGGTCTCTAGCTCGTTGGAACCGCTCTTCCACCCTGTCGTTGGCAGCACTTATACAGAGGATAGTGAAGCCTTTGAAGAGGCATTCAGGCCACAAAAAAAAATGACAATTGGGAGCTAGACTTGAGTGCTACCGTGTTGTTAGGTTGGAGGATTTCTTTGAGCCGGAGTTGAAGACCTGTTACTCCTGACGATTCCCCATACTAGAAGTTATTAAGGAGGACTTGGAGACCTTGCTCAATGTAGTTCATGTTGACGGAGCTCCAATGTTAGAAATTTAGGCATTTTTATGTTTAATTTAAGAGTAAAATGCATCACTGGTCCATTGACTTTTGAAGGGATGTCATCTGGGTCAATCAACTCTTAAAGTGTATTTTTGGGTCTATAAACTTTTCATACAGTGCACTGCAGGTTCATACCGGTTCAAGAGCTTGGTAAATTTTTATTTAACCCCCTCCCATCGATACCTCTATCTCAAAATAGCCGCCACAGTAGCTCGGTCAATGGGCTGGCATCATCGTCAGGCCACCCACGCCATCGCCGCGCGAGCGAGCGGCCGGCTGCCTGTGCTGGTGCAGCCACGCTGGCATGCGAGCATGCAGCAGCTCGGCAGCCATGTTACCGTTGGTTGAGCGGACGGGCTGTCGCGCAAGGCCAGGCATGCCACGCCACCACGCGAGCTAGCAAGCGTGCGGGCGGCCAGCTGCGTCATCGTCCAGCGAGTCAGAGGGCCAGTGCGACAGGGCTAGCTGTGGAGCAGGCGAGCGCAGCCGAGCCCAGAGCTAGCGGGTGAGCGCATGCTCGCCGCGCGGCTGGTAGGCCAGCGCGAAGGTCGATGTGCGGCTTGGGTGCTCGCGCAGGCGAGGTACAGAGAGGTCAAGGCTTGGTTACGCCCCCAGGTTAGGTTGGCCGCGTGCCGCTCTCCCTAGCAGGCCTACAGCAGCTCCTTCCCCCACCCCCGTCGTGCACCTTCCACTTCCACGCAGGCTTGCAGCTTCTGCCGAAGACGAAGTCGACGCCTACGCCGTCTGATTGGAACGAGCCTGCAGCATGCCCCCACGCGTCCAGCGTCTTCCCGGTCAAGCTCGGTCCCAAATTGCATGTGTGCCGACGCTAATGCTGACTCTAGAAGAGCAGTCACAACTCACATTAGCATGTGGATGAACTGTCGGTAAGGTCGCGGGATGCCAATCCAATGCCATGTGGAGGCTGCTGACCTGCTGTCAATCTATAATATTGCTTCTCCCATTTCTCGCTCATGAGCAACCGCTATGCGCTAGGCCGACGGAGAAGAAGAACAGTGGCTGCCCACCCACACTCAAAGTGACGGCAGCATGGCTGGCCTCGCACGGTAGCCAGCCCACTCGATCAACGCCAACGTGCTTGCCTGGCGCAGCTGCTGCGTGCTTGCGTGGCGGCGTGGCTACACTAGCACGGGCGGCCGGCTGCTCACTCGTGCGGCGGTGGCGTGGGTGGCCTGACGTGGCTGCCAGCCCACTGATCGGGCTACTGTGGGGGCTATATTGAGACAAAGGTATCGATGGGAGGGGGTTAAATCAAAATTTATCAAGCTCTTGAACTCATATGGACCTACAATGGACTGCATGAAAAGTTTTTGACCTAAAAATACACTTTGAGAGTTGATGGATCCAGATGACATCCCTCCAAAAGTTAATGGACCTGTGGTGCATTATACTCTTAATTTAATCTAGAAAAAAGTAGTAAATTCATGACAATAAATATGTGCACGTGTGAACTATTAATGGCAACTATGATGAACATATTGATCATGTTTAAGAGCACAAAAACTTTACTGAACATAGAGACAGTAAGATTAGAAGTATACCCAGCGGAGGGACCCATGCTCAAGGCACCGGCAGCTCTATGCGCACTAGTCGACATAGTGCGTTGCTCGATGTCGGAGACTATAGTCGATGCAGGACGATGTTCGTAGTGCAGTCCCTCGAACGTCCACCCAGAAGTAGACGATTCGAGAAAGAAGAAGAAGAAGAAGACATCGGCAATCACCAAGAAGAAGCGAGCAGTCGCGGAGACGCTCCTCAAAAATCTGATCGCCCACACACCCAAGCAGGTGTCGCTATGCGGACGGTGGTTCTAGAGGCCTGCTCTCCTAACACTCCGTGCGTGCAGAGGATTGGTAAGAGGAAACTCGGGAGCAACTCAACAGAAGAACAATGGTGTTGGGGGTGTTGTGTCTCGTCCGCGCAGCTGAAGGCAAGCGCTCATTTTTATAAGCACGGAAAGTAGAAGATGAAGTGTAGAGGATGAACCTGGACGTCATGAAGCGTCCATCAATCACTAGTAACCTCTGCCATAAACATAGGGTTACTAGTAACTACAACCATAATCATGGGAGTTACTAGTAACCGCAACCATAATTATGATCGTTACAAGTTCAGCCATCAACTATATTCACTCCAATATTTTATTGCACCAAGCATCTAATATGGCCTTAGAATTTATTTGATTTAATTATTAAATAAAATATGGGTCATACCCATATTAAATCTAACAATCCCCACCAAATTCTATGGCACATATGAAATGCTCTCAATTCTCTATTATTTAATATACTAGTGTTCTGATAGAGACTGTTAAGTTAAACATCCATCTAGAATAGAGGTTACACTTCTTCATAACTAAACAATGGACTATGTCTTAAATTGATAGTTTTGTACGAAATAAGTTTCACCTAAATCCTTTACTGATACTAGGTTGCCTAAAGCATCCCCTCTGGTTGGAGCATATAAGTCATACTCCTGGGCCTTTCATGAGTATCTAGTGATCACCAAATCTCAAACTGTGACTAGCAGTCGAACTCATATAGGTGTATTCCTCCAAAGATGTTATGTAGGACAACATCTTTACTTAAGCAAGCCACTTAGAATACATTAAGTTAAAGACCAGCCTGCCTTACAGCAAAGGAAAGACATGCATCTGACATGAGCCTAGTTAAGGGTCTTTCATCACAGTCTACCCTTGGCTTGTTTCACCATCCTACTTCACGGGATCTCCAATCATATATGATAGGTTACCACCATGGTAGACTTCATGTGGGTCGCAGCCCCATCTCACTCGATGCAGTATCTATCACATTACGTGATAGTCCCTTACTGAATTGACCTGCTAGATTTTTAGACGTATGGACAGTCTAATGCTATCTCTCCGGAGTTTCTCAATTTTCTATCAGATTTTAGCTGCCTCTTAACATGCCGGACTTCATGTTATCCTTAGAACTTTTTACCTTGATTATTACAGTCTGGTTATCACAGTTCATAGAAATAGCCGATATAGGTTTTTCTACTACCGGTAAATCCATAAGGAGTTTACGAAGCCACTCAGCCTCAACGCCGATGGTGTCTAATGCTGTGAGTTCTGCTTCCATGGTTGACCTCGTTAAGATGGCCGGCTTGCAAGACTTCCATGAAACAGCGCCACCTCAAACAGAAACATATATCCGCTTGTGGTGTGAACCTCATCAGCATCAGATACCCAGTTCACATCACAATAACTCTTTAGTACCTTTGGATACCCGGTATAGTGAATGCCATAGCTCACAGTACCTTTCAGGTAGCGCATTACTCTCTCAAGAGCACGCCAATGATTATCTCCCAGATTAGACATAAACTGGCTTAGTTTGCTCACAGCAAACGAGATATCAGGCCTTGTAGCGCTAGCCAAATACATAAGCGAACCAATAATTTGGGAGTATCTCAATTGATCCCTTCCTATTCTTCGATTTTTCCTCAATAGCACACTAGAGTCATAAGGCGTGTGAGTAGGCTGAGAATCACTAAACCCAAAGTGACTTAAAACCTTTTCCACATAATGGGATTATAGAAGTGTAACCCCATCATTGCCGTCTCTTAGCAGCTTGATATTAAGAATAACGTCGGTCTCTCCCAAATCTTTCATCTCAAAATTATTAGATAAAAAATTCTTTAACCCCCTTGATCACATCAAGGTTGGTTTCAAAGATCAGTATGTCGTCAACATATAAACATAAAATCACACCTTCGCCCCCACCATACCGATAGTACACACATTTGTCAGCTTCGTTCACAACAAAGCCAACAGATGTCAAAGTTCTGTCGAACTTCACATGCCATTGCTTAGGAGCTTGTTTCAGGCCATATAAGTAATTCAATAATTTACACACCATGCCTTCTTAACCATTTGCTACAAATCCATCTGGTTGATCCATATAGATCTCCTCCTCAACTCTCCATTTAGGAAAACTGTCTTAACGTCCATCTAATGAAAGAGAAGACCATGTGAGGCTGCCAAGGAAAGTAACACTCAAATTATAGTCAATTGAGCAATAGGTGATTAAGTATCGAAGAAATCTTCTCCTTCTTTCTGGGTATAACCCTTGGCCACAAGTCTTGCCTTGTACCTCTCCATTGTACCATCAGGCCTAAGCTTTTTCTTAACACCCATTTTGCATCCTATATGTTTACACCCATAAGGACGTTCGACAACTTTGGTTCCATTAGACATAATTGAATCCATCTCACTCCATACGGCTTCATTCCAAAGGTCAGCATCAGGAGAGGAATATGCCTCTTCAATGATTCTTGGTGTGTCATCCATAAGGTACACAATATAGTCATCACCAAAAGACTTTGTAGTCCTTTTTCTCTTACTCTTTCAAGTGACTACAATGTCATCCTCCTCAGGATTTTGCATAGGGGGTTTCTCAAAATGTTCTATCCGAATGAATTGCTCTTAGGGTATTATAGTTTCATGACTATATGTGCTAGGTGCATTTTTTATAGGAAATTCACTTTAAAAATGTAGCATCTCTGGACTCCATTATAGTACCAACAAGCATGTCGGGTACTCTAGAATTTATTATTAAGAACCTATATCCAACACTATGAATAGCATAACCAAAGAATACATAGTCAACCGTTTTGGCCCAAGTTTGCGCTTCTTGTTAATTGGCACATTCACCTTGGCCAAACAACTCCAAGTGCGCAAATAAGAAAGATTTAATCTTTTCTTCTCCCATTCCTTGAATGGTGTGATTTCTTTATTTTTTGTAGGAACTCTATTCAGGACATGACACAATGTCAAAATAGCCTCACCCTACCATTCCTTAGATAGTCCCGCTGTCTCTAACATGGCGTTAACCAACTCAGTTAGAGTGCGGTTCTTTCTTTCAGCAATCCCATTGGATTGTGGTGAGTATGACGGTGTCCTCTCATGAATAATTCTATGTTCTACGTAGAATTTAGAAAATTCACTTGAAAAGTATTCTCCACCACGATCAGACCTTAACCGTTTAATTTTCCTCTCAAGTTGATTTTCTACTTCAGCTTTATAGGTCTTAAAATAATGCAACGCTTCATCTTTCGATTTTAGCAAGTACACATAGCAAAATCTAGTACAATCATCTATAAATGTCATGAAGTATCTTTTGCCACCTTTAGCCAATTCGCCATTCATCTCGCATAGATTGGAATGTACTAGTTCTAATGGCGCCAAGTTCCTCGCCTCTGCATCCTTGTGAGGCTGCTTAAATTGCACATATGCATGGCACTTAGAACCTTTGACTAAATTAAATTTCAGGATTAAATTCATATTTGCTAGCCACGATAGACAATCAAAATTAATGTGACAAAGCCGTGAATGCCAAATATTTGACTCATCAGTGATAATAGCATTGTTCACAAACCTTATTACATA